CCAATATTTTTTCACTCATCTATTCTTGACTCTATTGGTTTTTTTCCCCAAAATGAGTCAACATTTTAAGATTTAAAAAAAATATTAAATTATGCTTGTGTTTTAGAAAAAGGTCTCTTTCAACTGTATCTCAGTATACCAAGTAGACCGAGTACCCTGTGCACTAGCAGCATAAATGTTCTGTATTTATGTGGTATTTATATGGCATTGAAAGTTGTAGGCGCTGACAAGCAATTGGGAAAAAAATGTTCTGCCTAGCAACTCCAACCACGCCAACTGCATTATTTTAATCAGAAGGTGATTCATCTTATTACCCACTGCCATTGTACTATACGCTTACATAAAATAACATAACAAAAATCCTTGCTTCTTATATATACTTCTCAACCATTTGTACACAACAAAACAATATGCATTCCTCCAGCCATTATACTGGACGCGTTGAGGTAACTGAAGAGGCGTAAAACCTAAACTTACTTATGTTGTGGGGGCACAAGATTGTCAAAGCAACCCTTTCCCGATCAGTCAACACTTGAACATGTTGAGGAGGCAACTCTTCTCATTTTTCTCGAGATTTTCTCCTCCTTTTTCCTGCCAACCAGTGTCGCACAGCATGTGAACAGTCATGTGTATCAATCTGGAGACCAAGCATCTTGATTTTCAGCAAAGTATCAAGCTAATCTGAGAATAGTGAAGACCTGTTATTTGACTTGAGGGGGTTCTGGGCACTAAACGAACGCTCACATTCAACGCTTGTAATTGTCATACATAGCCCAATATTGGGAAGAATGGCACAGTTTGGCATATAGACTGATGAACAAGATGATTTCTCTTACACAATTCCCGGAATTGGAAATGCTCAAATGAACCCATAATAATCGCTTTGAGGCGTGGCCACTCATCAACCAACTGCTCTCTGTTCAGGAGAGGCTCAACGATCCTCACATTGTCATCGAAGCCATGTCCCATGTCCCCTTCCACCACACACACTTTCTTCTCACTCTCACATCTCAGCCACATGAGCAAGGACATCATTAGATTCAACATTAGATGAAGCATTTACCGTGAATGGCTCCAAAATTCTACTAAAATCACTGAAAATGTCACGGTCGTCGTTCCTAAAATTTAGCTTTGATATTTTTGCACAGATTCTTCAAATAGTCTCTCCTCAATCTCTCAAACTCTTCATCCATTGTGCATCGATAAGAAAAGTTTATTTTCATAATAGTGGACACTGACTCCATCATGTTCTTCTCTGGTGATTTTGGATTTGACCTTTGTCAGGGCCTGCCCATCTGTACTCATGAAACACTCAAGTTTCGGCAATGTGGCATCAAGCAGGGGTTGAAGCTCACTGAACAACAGATTCCTCTTCTGTATCACACAGCTCAAAACAGCAAGCTCTGAATGAATATCTAACATAAATGCTATTATTAAAAAATCTTAGTAGTCACTGAAATACTTAAACAATCCTTTAGCTGAGGCACACTTTTCTTCAGCAAATTTCAACAATGTTGACAGTACGGATGGATAGCATTCATACACTACTATGCAACTGCCGACTTTAAACCTAGCCACCTGATTGAGTGGGCTTCTTTGACAGAAAGTTCCGGAAAGTTTTAGAGTTTCTGTAGCTGTTTCAGTGTGGTTGTTCTGTTGCTAGAACCGTTTATGAAAAAATACAAACTGTTGAATTTATCTCTGAATTTAAGCAGGTAGTCAATCTTCTTGATGGCATCAACACATGCCAAGTTGAGTCTGTGAGTAACACAATGAGTTTGAACATAAAAGGGGGAATATTGTGCTTGCATCTGTTTTCCAACACCTGTTTTTCCCCCATCATCACTGCAGCACCATCTGTGAAGTACATTTGGACAAGTTAAGTCCTAACTTTGCAAACTCTGACACAACACCATTGCCCACTGTATGTGCGTATTGAATAAAAAAGTTGTAATGGCGTCCCCTTGTTTCACGTATCTGACACAAACTGACAGCGTTTTGTCCACTGTAATGTCTGTGCTTTCATCAAGCATGATAGCACATACTGGAGACGACTTGATGTAACTGTATCCTAGCTCAGGTTTTATAACTGACATCAAGACCATTCAGTCTCTGTAAGTTCAGCAAATCATTCACTTTCACAGAAGGAGATTCTGAGTTAGCATCATTATACACTGTGTTGAACAATAATCATCACTGTTCACATCACCAATGTCGACACCGTTAGGAATGTCTTTACCTTCATACTCCCTTCTTTCACAGGCTTGTTTCTGTTCGCCACTTTCGATGTGTCTAGTGATACTGGACTTTTGTATGTTACTGGTGCCATCGATATCGTAAGCCCACACATTTGTTAATTTGAACATGGTTTCATAATAGCGACACAAACTACAGCTCATGAAAAGCGTTTCACCCTTATCTTAAAAAATAAGCCACGGAAACTTCCATTCACGGTTTTCCATTCAGTGATTGTTCGTTTACTCACATTTCCGCACTCAATGGCCCCGAGCGCTCTGATTGGTAAATATCCCCATGTGCGTTTGTTATGGTTGGAGGGCGGACCAATCACAGCACTCGCCGCCATTGTGCGCAGAGATTTGTTGTTTGCTTCCGTGACCCACAGCCGTGACTGAGCAAATATTTCGACAAATCGACATTAATTTATACGTATGTCATATTGCAATATGACATCGTTTTTAGTTGGTCACCGAGCCATGTTGGAATCATTGGTAACACAATGACTGTTGCTGCAGCTAAAGCAGCACTCAGCACTCAACACTTCTTATTATATAGAGTGATTATAGACCTGTGACTCTACCCTCGAGGGGTGGTTGAAGTAACATAAAAGTATTGTACCCCTAGGAGCGTAAGTTCCACGCCATTCAAAGCATTTTCATTCATGCCAGAAGTCGTATATTTGTCATTTAACTCGGATGGTTAAACCTTCATACCATTGCCAAATGCTGAAGGGAACCGTGCAGGTAGCAGAGTTATTGTAAGTCCCCACAGTCCCAAGTATGGTGGCCTCACATTGGTTGCTGACAATCTTTAGCCCATTTTATTTTGTGTTGTTGAATAACCTACCTACCTACCTACCTACCTACCTACCTACCTACCTACCTACCTACCTACCGATCCTACCCTACCCTACCCTACCCTACCCTACCCTTCCCTACCCTACCCTACCCTATCCTACCCTACCCACCCACCTACCTACCTATCCTACCGTACCCTACCCTACCCTATCTTACCTTACCCTACCCTACCCTACCCTACCCTACCCTACCCTACCCTACCCACACCTACCCTACCCTACCCACACCTACCCTACCCTACCCACCCACCTACCTACCTATTCACTGTGCACAGTTGCATCCCTTCTATGATTGGGGCTTCGAGTCCCGGTTCTCCCCGATTATGTTTCTTGGTTTGTCAGCATCCTACCCGTGCTCGTAGGTTTCAACGAAGTGGTAAACGTCTGAGACCTGCATCACTTCGGGTTTATCTCCCACAATGAGCGGACACACCGCAATATAATACTGTTAAAAGGGTCGTCAAACCCAACTCACTCACTCACTCACCCTAGCCGATTTAACGTTCAGTTGTAATTAATTTACATATTAACCAGTGTACATAGATGAAGTCATTCGACCCCTTCACCAAAACTGTATCAGCATCCAGTGACAAGAACAACACATGTGCAGGACGTTGTAACATAAGTTACGGTTACAAATTGTTCATATTCAGTGATTTTAGGACTCTAAATATAAGTGACAAAACCATTTCCCTCTTCATCAATGAACAATTCCGATCTCCTAAGCATGTGCTTTTGAATCACTATCAAATAGTGATGGCATGACGTGTTTGCAAACCGAATGAAAATGGAGAAAAAAAAAGACTGGAGACATATAGTAAAAAGGAAATATGGGAATTGTATCGGACATCATTCTAGTAATCGATGCTTCAATTTTGTAAATAAATGTCCTCTACATATCCACCCAAAAACGTTTTGAAAGCTTAAGGTGTTGTAACACTGATCAATCCAATTTTGAGCATGAATCGTGTGACTTTTCGTGTGAATCTTCGTAGAACTTGCATGCTCGACTGTACCTAACGAGTTATGAAGATTAGATTGATGGACGGTATTTGAAACCAAATGTTGATTGGACCGATGCGTGATTTGGCAGATCTTTTCCCCTGTAAACATACTGGCCTCTTGGACAATTAATGTAGTGGTGCTTACATTATAGTGATGATGCTTTTTGAGGCCTCATTAGTGGGAACCTTATTCCGCCAGTCAGGGAAGACATACTTTGGTTGTCTTCCAATTCTGTTTGAAAATAGGTTTTGCATTCTATCAAAGATATATAACGAACTAACTAAACCCACTCTAAAATACATTCGGCAAGGTTTACCTTTCCTGTTGGCCCTTCTTGGTGTGATAGTAGCAGTGCTGCATTGAAGAACTAAGTTACATCATTATTAATTTGTCCTTAATAATCATCTTTATAAAGGTGTATTTAGTTCTCGACGCCGGATGGCTGATATCTTGAAGACGAGATGTCGTAACTCACTCTATCACTATAAATTTCATAAATTGCAAAATAAGCCACCTGTGAAAATCAACTGTGAAATATTCTTCTCCCTTTATACTTGATAGGCCATTGGTCAGGGATTGTCCTATAAAGCACGTGTTAAGGCATTATGTTATGTATAATTTGCACTTACACTACTGAACACAACCTCTCGTCTGCGGAGGAGCGATCCGTGATACTACCCCAAATGTATCCGGAATTACCAGGGTACGTTCGTGGAAATGCCGCGGTTCAGTACGTTTGCAGAAATGCCGCGGTTCTGTACGTTTGCAGAAACGCCGCTGTTCAGTACGTTTGCGGAATTGATGCAGTTCCTTAGCAGATCGTATTGTACTGCTGTGGCTTCTTCAAGAAAGAAGTTAGTAGTTGTAAGCAGTAGTTTATATAAGCATGCACATGAGAACTGATTTACTTTCACTTACTCACTGTGGAACACTGTTTCAACAGCTTACACAGGAAGAAACTTGGCTTTGAAGAAACCATCCAATGCCAGCTCAACATACATTCAATCGTGTCAACTATATACGTCAAGTGTTGTTGACGGGTCACCTTCAGGAGTATTTAATGACATGACATGTCACAGCGTTGGCTATGGTGATACGAATCCCTGGTGGCAGGTGGACTTACAGGACGTCTACAGAATATCTAGAGTTGAGATTGTTGGTCGTTCAGATTGCTGTGGTAAGTGTTCACATAAAGTATTGTAATATTGTGGTTAGGACCCGACCAAGTAATATCTTTTAAAGGGTCATTGAATTTTTGTTTTGATATAGAATATGTTTATCATGCGCTTCAATACATACATTCTCTGATAGGATTAGCCAAAAAATATATTTTTTGAAAAAAACATTGTTTTTTATAGCATCAAGCATGTCCAGATTTATCAGTTTTGCGTCAGTGTGTGGTTGGTTGCGTCACTGTGTGGGTGGTTGCGTCACTGTCTGGGTATTTGTGTCACTGTGTGGATGATTACGTCAGTGTGTGGGTGGTTGCGTCAGTGTGTGGGTGGTTGCCGTGTCCCTGTGTGGGTGGCCGTGTCCCTGTGTGGGTGGTTGCGTCACTGTGTGGATGATTGCGTCAGTGTGTGGGTGGTTGCGTCAGTGTGTGGGTGGTTGCCGTGTCCCTGTGTGGGTGGCCGTGTCCCTGTGTGGGTGGTTGCGTCACTGTGTGGATGGCCGTGTCACTGTGTGGGTGGTTGCGTCCCTGTGTGTTGGTGGTTGCGTCACTGTGTTGGTGGTTGCGTCAGTGTGTGGGTGGCCATGTCACTGTGTGGGTGGCCGTGTCCCTGTGTGGGTGGTTGTGTCACTGTGTGTGGTTGCGTCACTGTGTTGGTGGTTGCGTCAGTGTGTGGGTGGCCGTGTCCCTGTGTGGGTGGCCGTGTCCCTGTGTGGGTGGTTGCGTCACTGTGTGGGTGGTTGCGTCACTGTGTGGGTGGTTGCGTCACTGTGTGGGTGGTTGCGTCACTGTGGGGGTGGTTGCGTCACTGTGTGGGTGGTTGCGTCCCTGTGTGGGTGGTTGTGTCAGTGTGTGGGTGGTTGCGTCAGTGTGTGGGTGGTTGCGTCACTGTGTGGGTGGTTGCGTCCCTGTGTGGGTGGTTGCGTCACTGTGTGGATGGTTGTGTCAGTGTGTGGGTGATTGTGTCACTCTGTGGGTGGCCGTGTCACTGTGTGGGCGGCCGTGTCCCTGTGTGGGTGGTTGCGTCACTGTGTGGGTGGCTGCGTCACTGTGTTGGTGGTTGCGTCAGTGTGTGGGTAGCCGTGTCACTGTGTGGGTGGCCGTGTCCCTGTGTGGGTGGTTCCGTCACTGTGTGGGTGGTTGCGTCAGTGTGTGGGTGGTTGCGTCAGTGTGTGGGTGGTTGCGTCAGTGTGTGGGTGGTTGCGTCAGTGTGTGGGTGGTTGCGTCACTGTGTGGGTGGTTGCGTCACTGTGTGGGTGGTTGCGTCACTGTGTGGGTGGTTGTGTCAGTGTGTGGGTGGCCGTGTCACTGTGTGGGTGGTTGCGTCCCTGTGTGGGTGGTTGCGTCACTGTGTGGATGGTTGTGTCAGTGTGTGGGTGATTGTGTCACTCTGTGGGTGGCCGTGTCAGTGTGTGGGTGGTTGCGTCACTGTGTGGCTGCGGTGCTGTGTACCTTTATGGGTGGATCTGTCCCACGACATGGGGGTTCGATGTCACCCAGGTCATAAAGCCTGACATCCCAAATGCATCTGTTCATAACTCCCATTTACTTATTATTTATAACAGATACACGTTTCTGTTTGATTCAGCTGACAGGCTGCACGATTTCACCATCGATGTGTACGTCGATGACCCTGCCGTCACAGTGAGCGCCCAGCCCACGTTGTGTCACTACTACCACGGCGTCTTCAGGCCTACAACTCAAGACATCATGTGTGACTCTGTAGTTGCTGGGAGGTTTGTAAGGCTGTCAGGGAAGAAGACTCCACCCGCTGGAGACTTGTTTACATTGTGCGAGGTTTCTATCTATGAACCAGAAAAGTATGGTAAGCCAATGTGGAACAAACAGATTAACCTATTAATTTCGGAGATATCTCTTGTTTGGTGTTCAACGCTTATCTCAAAACATAGTCCATCTATGACTGTGGCCTGTAAATAATTAAAACTGGACAGGACAATCCGGTGATTGCCAGGGACCGATCCTGACCAGGAATTCTTGGATCTGCAATGGAAATTTGTTTGCATCAGAACGTCCTATATTTCGGCCCTTTCATCATTGAGTCTGTGTGTATACCCGTGTGTGCCTGTGTTTCTGCATGTGCGTATGTACGTTCGGCTGTGGTGGTTCGTGGGTGTTTGTTAGCTGGTGTTGGTGGATGAGGTGGTGCGGTGTTGTTTGATGAGGTGGTGCTGTGTTGGTGGATGAGGTTCTGTAGCAATCATGTAACTATAAAGCATATATATATTGCTATTTGAATAATCATTTAGTGAATTAAAATTATATTAATGGATGAAACAAAAAGTGAATGGCATGTTCCTCATTTCATGACAAACTGTATAATGGTATAAGTTTAAACATTACAAAAATGTTTGATTAAATTGCCATTTAGCTCTTTAATCGATCTTATAGTTCAAATGGATTTGGTGGTCATTCTTGGTGATAATAATGTATGTCTTGCTTACTTACAAATAAGATCTAAATAAGTTCCCATCGTCAGTACTTCACTGGTTTTGTATACCCGGAAATTCATTGGGCCGACTAGCGGTGTAGTAGTGACTTGTGACTGTGCGAAGCCAAGTACTGAAAGAAGACAAAAGCAATGTGTTGAGCAGATGCCCTTTTGGCGACATAATGGGATTGAGCATTCGTTTGAGCACTCGGTGGATTCCCTATCGCTAGAACCATGCCGCATCTTGATTCATTGCTACAAATAGCGACTACAAGCGGTCGTATATATTCACGGATGATCAGGATGGGTGGCGGTAGCCCGTGAAGTATCGATGATGGTAGGTTCCTAACATATTTTTCGTATCTTTTTATCAACAGCTGCTCACTTCCGAAACACAAATGTGTCACTGACTGGCTTGACTGTGGCAGCGTTACCCCTTGACCTCCTGAGCTGTGTCGTCAACTGTGTCACCGATCCTCTCTGCATAGCGGTCAAGATGGTCAGACACGAGACACGCGGGTGTCAACTTATTCATCGGCATGTTGACCCTGCTAGAACAACAAGATTGACACTTTCAAATTGCTTTGTCCCAACTTAAAATGTTCAAATGTAACTGCTTTGCTATAGCTGGGGACATGGGTAGCCCAGTTGTCCAAGGCTCTGCAATTCGCTGTCCTTCGGTGTGTGCTCATTGATCCGAATCTTATTTCGCCCCCATTGTATTTGTATGTTTGTCAGCACAATAACGTGACACACCTGGCTTTCCTCTTACATGAAGCTGATATTTCGTGATATAACTGATATACTGTTCAAATCAGCGTTACACCTCACTCACTCACTCACTAACTCACTCACTCACTCACGTGTCTATTTGACACTTGCCTATTCATGTTCTGTTTGCAATGTGCAATATGTGTGTCACTAAAATGTGCTGGATCTACTTCGCCTTGAGATACGGACTGTAAGAAATGGATTGCATGAGGAGTACTTAGGTACAGTTATTATAGTCTCGCAAATCATTTACTCTACTTCATGTAAACTCCAGCAAATCACTTCCTTTATATAAATGTGAACACATGTCAATCAGTCCTTGTATTGCAATCACTGCCGTTAAATAAATGTGCTCACTCCCGAATCAGTTGCTTAGTAGGCGACTCTTCAGGAAATAAAAAGGGTGATGATAGTGACAGGATATTGTGTTACCTCTGACATTATTCTGATCGTGGACAGTCTCTGTTCTTCCAGGTTAAAAGCTGTGTTGACCTCTCTGTTTGTAAACATTTGTCAGCAGGGTACAGTAAGAAGATCAGGCTATAAAATGGTTACCAATTCGAAATATAACATTATCCTTTAAATACTCCATGTTCCAAAGCTAATGTAATATAGTGTTTTATGTTGTGATATTCAACATCATGTTGTTCTTCTCCATTACAAATAACGAATCACAACGAGAATATATATTCCTACCTGTTTCAATTCATTTTTGCGACAATATTGTATTCATTCCTTTTCTACAGACACAATAGTTGTATTCGGAAATGGTTTCCTTATATTATGGTTACTTGGTATTTAAATTATCCTAATAATATTGTTTATTCACAAAATGTGTTAGGCCGTAGGCCTATTACACAGAGGTATTTACAGAGAGAGGGAGAAAAAAGATTTACCACTAGTTTACATATACAGCCATATCCATACACATTCATACACATGCATATACACAAATAAATATTTAGACTGTATGTAATGAACGAAGTCGAAATTATCCTAAATTACTCTACTATTGCACATGTACAGCTAGGTTACGTCCGCGTTTCAATGTGTACTCTCAGTCCATCACATAATTATATATGTTGTTTGTTTTGGTGTTATCAACTACAAAGCGTTTGCTGAATGTGGTAAGTTCGAAAATTAAAATAGCTCTCACGACTGTACTGTAGAAGCAGTCATGGGTTTTTGAGAATCATTCCGGCTTATCAATGTACTCTGAATATTATATTGGTCCACGCAAGTGAACCTGTAATGAGTAGTCCAAATATTCGACTCTTGTAGTCGTGAAATGTATATGCATGTAGGCACGTTCCGGAAGACTGTTACTGTTTACACAGGCAGCAGTCTGAGCTGAAGGTGTCACATTTGTATTTTGTGTTAAGATTTTCTATATTTGTATTACTAACATGTTGATCGTGTGTTAACAGTCTTTAAGTATTGTAGATAATGGCCGTACCCCAGTCTGTTGGGCGGACAGTCACGCACTTGCCAAAATGTCTCCTGGTCCACACCAAATCAATAATCTGGCTTCTTGCTACAAGCTTGCTGTTGAGGGTGTACCTTGTCCTGTCACCTCTGCCGCTGAACAGACCGCAAGGCACCGGAGATTATCATTATCTGTCAGCACGACCGACCTCTACATCTCCAGGTGCTCACAACCACCGCATACAAGCTGTGACTACATCAGTATATAACATCTGTACATCTACAGTGATCAGTCAACACTCACGCAGTGTCCAGAAAAGTCTACCTCTCGCTTCAACATCCCAGCTGATGACCATACTGTGTGAACAGGCCTTGTGTTCAGACATTAACTTTTCTGTTAGGGCCTCAAACACGTTGGACAGCGTTAGACCAATTGACTTTTCGAAACAGGAAAGGAGCCAGTGGATTCGATTGGGACCAGCGACACATGAACTTTCGTGAATGGTTGTGCCATATTTTGGCCATGTACAGTGACATTTGACATTGATGAATCACTTTAAATTAACTATATATTGTACTTGAATAAAATATCGTGATGTTTATGCTTTGTAATTATACGAATTAACATAGGATCATTTCTAATATTCTCTAGCATGTCAGTACATTTTGACCATATTTTATTTTAAATTGGTTACAATTAAATATATGGAATGATCGATCCTATTTTACTTCTATTGTGTTTATTGTGATTGTATTTTAACATATCAGATCTCACCTAGTGTTTACTTGATCCGAGTTGTGACAGCTCTTGTCCACAGGCGGAGGTTGTTATAAGGTAAAGATGTATCCCCAAACCCTCGACAATTACAACAAAATCAACCTTTAAATTCATGATTATAGCTTTAAAAACGATGGAGACAGAAAGCTGAAGTGTTGGCGCAACAAGCAGGAAATCAATAGGGCGATGACAGTAACAGGACATTTAGGGATAGCTTCGGTGGTGTCGTCGCCAGTTAATCAATGGACATTTGTAATCGTTAAGTAAGTTCCGGTAGTTTGCTGATCACGACACAAACACGAGTCCATGGTCTGATATTGTCTTAACCACTTAAGATCATCTATGAGGTCATGTGACAAAGACAGGCCATTTCGTGTACATAAGAAGAGGAGAGCGCGGTGTGATCGTTCTAAGCTCTCCCCACTTAGTGATGACCCTGACCGGTCTGATCCTGTCGTGTATTGATGTATGCACTAAGAGGAAGTACAACTAATGCGAAAATACAGCTGGTGTTGCGTTTCTTTATTATGCGAGTATAATTGCTGATGGAGACAGTTCAGAGAAAGTGACTGAGACTTGACTGAGACGAGCCGATGCTGACAAGTCGAGCTGCAAAGTTTAACTGACCATGTGGACAAGGAACGACAACGTGTTTAGGTAACTGTAGTCGGGTCCCACTTGACACATCCAATCTATATGTTGAATTGAACCTGGGTCTTAGGCGTGACGTTGGTTCGCCCCGATTATGTTTCTAGGTTTGTCAGCACCATACCCGTGCTCGTGGGTTTCACCGAAGTGGTAAACGTCTTAGACCTGCGTCACTTTGGGCTTTCCTCCCACATTAAGCTGACGTGCCGTGATGTAACTGGAATACTGTTAAAAGCGGCGATAAACCCAACTCACTCACTCACTCACTTAGGGGTGACGAGTGAACACTTTAACCACTAGTCTACCGCGCCACCTTCTTTAAAAATGAACCCATCCAAGAAAGAGATGAATTAGAACCTTGTAGAATGTGCATACAAGTGCATAAGTGTAATTGTTTCCTTAAAAGCAGATTACAGTCATCTTTACTTGAAACTAATCGCAAACCAACATGTGAAAATAATTTCCTTTCAGTTGCCCGCGATCTCTTTCGCCTTGGTTTTCAATTGTGTCGTGTAATATTCTTTCTTGACAGGAACATTAAATATATATCTGTGATATATAACTAGTTATTTTATTGTCATTTGATGACAGGATGTTAGAAAATATCAACGCATTACTTTTTCCAGAAACTTTACAACTGAATTATCTGCGACGTGACTTAAATCACTCTCACTTGAACTTTGTACGTTGTCTCAACTTCTTTGGGGAGTTATTTTCCTTTTAATGCATGTATTGAGGTATATCAAGGTCGTGTATATTCGTAATTGAAATACATTCTCAAACGTTTTTGTAATTATTTGTTGATCACAGTGCGTCACACAATGACGTCCTTCTTTAAGTTCACAAGGATACTGAATGAATAAGTAATATAAAAAAGCTTGACAATCTATACAATCTCTTATCTGAAATAACACTGTATTTCTATTACCTGTAATATTATTTAATTGTATTGTTACTTCCTTTTTCGAATTTTGTATTTCTGATACTTATCATTATATATTATTCATCTGTCGATAGCTATCAAAACATCAGAGAAAACCAGTTTTTATGGAGCATCTCGTGTAAAACTATGTTATCTGTCATCTGGAAATAGTAAACGGGAGTACAAGTGTCAGGTCTGAGATTTCCATAGGGTCAGCCTTTCTGTATGCCAAGAACGATTGCTGTTGTAGGTTCGATTTCAATAATGAAGATATTTTTCATAAATATATTCTATGCGGACAACACATTATATGTTAAACCAAATTGAAAGATAAAACTCACTTTGAACATATAGACGATGCATATATTTCGCATTCAGTTAGCTCCAAGTCCCATAGTACAAACATATCATCGTCAAAGACCCGAGCCGCTTCAGGAGGCTAAAGAATAAACCAGTCTGGCCCACACAAACCAGTGACTGATATTTCTCTTCTCCATTAGTCTATGTATGAAGATAGTCGCTGGAACTTAAAGTGCTGGCCTTTTCAGTTTCATCTTCATACAGGCTTGGTAATATCTTCAGTTCATACTTGTCGTACAGGCATGTCGGCAACAACTGCACATCCTCTCAGAACCATACTTAGCTCAAGCCATCTGACTTTAAATGCAACATAGTCTCTAAAATGCACTGACCTCTTAAACAGCATGTTAACAGTCACCACACACATTACAATAAACATGCATTGACATAAACACCCGAGTGCTACACTGAATGCTCCGCGTAATGTGAACTGTATGTTTCTGGATTTACAAATGTGCGAAAAAGTTCACTTGAACTTGCTTCTAATTATCCAATCCTGATTCACACTGGATGTGGAAGGTGATGCGGGTCGTGGACGTTTACCACTTTGGTGAAACCCGGTCGTTGTGTACACAGTTAAAAGGGCCATCTGGAAGGCCATAACGTTATTTTGTTAGAAACCATGAACATTCACTTACCAATGTATTTATATTATCGCAATTATAAAAAAAATATTCTTGTATTGAAGAAGGAACATT